AAAAGAGCTTTGTTATAGCATCTTTTGGTGGAGAGTGTGACTGGGGGACGCATCGGTGTTGTCCTTCCTTTGGAGCAACATTCCTCAGTGCTTCCATTACGCTCACAGAGCAACTCTAAATCCAACCAGCCTCATGAACCAAATGTAAGGGATACCTTAAGATGAAATTGAAAGCTTGGGAAAATTCTGACAAGACTCAGGAAAAGCTTAAAAGTGGAAATAGTGGAGGGCTACAGGAAATCCCAACAATACCAGAGATTACAGCCCAGGCTGCTAGTGCCTCTCCTGGTGTTGCTTCAGCCCACAGGAAGCTGATGGGTGATACAAGCCAAATGTTCCCTGATATGGGAGAGCGAGGATCGAGACTCAAGTATACAGCATCTCTGTTAGGGGGCTGTTATGGGAAGCAGTAACAATAATCTGAGTTGGCTGAGATGAAGCAACGCCAGGATATCAAGTGCTCCAGTGTTAAAATTGTGCTTTAAAAAGAGTCTATCAAGTGACTTAAAATAAGTTGTCTTTAGAAAAGGAATACCATCTAGTGGCCCAAGAAGGCAATAAGGAGATGCAATGGCAATTAGAGAAGCAGATGAGCTTGGAAAAAGAGACAGAAACTGCAAGAGATAAGGGATTAATGTATATAGTGCAGTGAACATCTCTGGAGCAAGGGAGGGTGCAAAAGGGACCTGATCATAGTGAATGTGAAGCTAAAATTAGATGCTTGCAAAAGCAGATTGGGATGTAAAGATTAAAAATAACTGCTGGATCTGCAGGAAGTGATGGAGAGCACTGGATTGGGAGCCATCTGAGGAAGATGATTTCAGGGATGATGCAAGCCAATGGGAAAAGAAAGAAGTTAAGAATAGCAGCATATCCCACAACAAAAAATGACTGCCATCTTGGGACAGGCAGGTACAGCAGAACAAACTGCCACAGCAGATAGGCAAGAAAGTGACGTGTCAACATTCATCATTATGCTAGAGAATATGGGGAGCTTTTAAAGAACTGACAAGAAGTTGCTCATATATCAGCAGGACCATGTGTTTACTACCTAATCTCAGCAGAGCACTGGTGTCTCCAACTCTCCTGGCAGCCACAGTGCAGTCAGGCTCCTTGGATGGAGGATAAATTAAGAGAACTAGTGGCACAAATGCACTCCATGAGTAACATGTGACAAAATGAAAGAGAAGGACCAATCCATTGAGCTGCTTTCACATTAAGAGACAAACAGTATTTACTTGCATCCCACAGGGCCAAGCACCTGCCTTGCTGCACACGCTTTTGTTCAGAAAGTGTTTGAATAATGGTCTCTGGAGGACACAGAAAGATATTGTGTAGATGATATTCTGGGGATCACAAAAGAAGAGTTACAAGAAAGAGGTATCTGAGTTTTAAAATTAATAGATCAAGAGGGATTTAAAGTCAATTTGAATACAGCACATTTAATGCAATCCCGGGTTAACTGCTGGGGAATTGGAACTGGCAAAACAAGATAGATCTGAGGAAACTTAAACTTTCTGTGAAATAAAGACTCCCATTGCTCAGACTGAGCTCTGGAGACTGCTGGGAGGATTGGATCTCTTGTGGCACCGCATCTGTAACTTAGCTAGTACTATCAAAGCATTATGACTATTACAGAAGAAACAGGAATGGAGGCAAAGTAAGGAGTGAAATGACAATTTACTTACAGCAAAAGAAGCTGCTGCTTGAAAAGCTCCTACAACAGAACATACCTTTGAAGGAAAGCGATTGATAGTAATAATTTCAGCGTGAGATCATTCTGAGGGATCAGTACTGTTACAGAAAAATAGTGAAGAAAAATGGATACCAATAAGGTATGTGTTCCCCTTCTTTAGGATCCAGACCAAAATTTCCCTGACCATGAGAAAGCCAGGTCTGGTCTGTGATGGTCCTTATCACTTTCATCGTTGATACTTTGGTTGCACCCTGGTCTACTCATACTCTGCTCTTAAGCACAAAGAGAAGAAATCAGTTAAAGTGCAGATGTTCTTTGAAGGGAAACCAGCAATAAAACAAAGTTATTGTGTGCCCATAGGAGTGCTAAGCTTGTACAGAGAGGAAAAATAGTTGGGGGTGGCGTTGTTAGTGGAATGAGGGAACTAGAGAAAGGATGTTGGCAAGGAGCAAAAGCGCAGGCTGTCATAGAAAGCAGTAAAAGACATAAATCCAGTATCTCTTTACAGATAGCTACCTTGTTGATACTAGAGTAAAATACTGGTTGTCTTATAGACAGAAGGGTGATGGTAAGCAGATAATGGGACACCCAGAAAGAAAACTGGATGTTTATTTTACATGCCTAGAGGGAGAGTGGGAATAAAATATATGTGAAGGAAGCTAAAGCATGTAAGAAGGCTGAAAGCAATGCTTAGAAACAATTTAATGAGCAAGTATATAAATTGACTCTGAGTTTATTTACAGCAGCCCCAGCCAGGAATCAACTAGAAGAAAAGAAGGGATGGATAATGTGCCTGGCTGAATGAGACCAAATCATCTCAGACTGTTATAACATTAGCAAAAAAAAAAAAGAGAGAGAGAGAGAGAGAGAACAAGGTACTATGAAAAGAGTGCAAGGAATTTATATTTGGCCCCAAATGAAGCCAATAAAAATGGCATGAAGTGTGCAGTTTACTCAAAGGACAGTGAGGCTCTGGCACCGCCAGCTGCCCAGAGAGGCTGTGGATGCCCCATCCCTCAAGCCCTTGAGGGGCTCAAAGCCAGGCTGGATGGGACCCTGAGCAGCCTGATGTAGTATTTGGCAACCCTGCCCATGGCACAGGATTGGAACTGGGTGGGCTTTAAGGTCCCTTCCAACCTAAGCCATTCTGTGATAATATGATGCAAAAGTGAAGTAGGGGGCCAAATATATCTGAAATTGGATAGAAAGGAACAAGCATCCAGAGCCCAGCCTGCTCAGTGAGACTGCCCCACTTCAGGAGTAAGGGACCACCACTCACTCATGTTGGCGTGAGCGGCTGCAGCAGATCTGTTTATGTGCTTGCATATGAACATTGCTGGTTTATGTCTCGAGCTTTGCTTATTTTCTGTTTTGTAGGGCAACAGATTTTACTACAGCCCCACAAGCAAGCAGCAGCTGAGAGTCCTGGTGCAGTGATGCAAACTCTGAGGCAAAGCAGAGGAGTTGAGGTCTCCGGCAGTTTGCAAGAATTTTTAACTTGACTCCTCACTCCATATCAATAGTTTTGTGTTTTTTGTAAATTGCATTAATTATAAACATTTAACAAGGCAGAAAATGACTGTAAAGTGCCTTGGAGAATCCAAGGTGACCTTTATGGGCTTTGAGGCCAAACCAGTGTCCTTTTCATAGTGATAGATCTAACCTGCGACTTAGCCTGCTTTAGCCTCGATTACCTTGCTGCAGCTTCCTAATGCGGTAGTAATAACTTAAGATCCCAAATAAAAAATTGTTACAGCTCTTAAGAGAACCTTGAGAGTTGTAGCTCAAAGATCTGGATCCACCCAGATTGGGAAATCATAGCTGAAGCTTTGGAAAAATGTTCTAAAATTACAACAGCTGAATGAAGTAGGTAGTTTTGTTCATTTACAGAACAATTCTCCAAGGAGGACCAACTGGAGGAGAAGCAGCCAGACCTAGTGCTGAACTGCTGATTTCTGTAATGCTCTTTTGAGCAAATGCCTGAGTAAGGAGGAATTTAGGAGGAGGTCAAATAAGAGAGGAAGCAGAAAAGATTCTTGAAGCGAATGGGAGACTGTGTGCTGTCAACAGCTAGCCAGTTACGATTTGAGACAATTGAGGGTTAAATACACCTAAGCAGAGATCTGAAATGGGAAATATGTATGGAATTCTAAGCTATTATGGCTGAGCGACAGTAGAGGTAACACTGAAGGGGTGATGGCATCTGTAAGTATTGTAGGACACCTGCTCAATAGCAGAAATTAACTGCTAGGCCATACGTTTCTTTCAGTAATAAGCGATAAAAATCCATATACAGAGAATAAGGATGGTAGAAGTCTATACAGAAACATTACTACTGATGATGCAAAGAACTACTCATACTTCCCCAACCTGCTACCCCCCTAACTGTTGTGCTGCCTCTGTGCATCCCAAGCCCAGCTCTGATACTGCCCAGCTGCATAACCTTGGGCCACACTTCTAAGCAAACTGCTCAGTTGTGAGACAGCTGGCAAGAAGATAAGAAGGGCAGAAACAGGGGGAGGAAAATTGAGAGCTTTGAGCCAGAGCAAGTGATTTGTATCAACAGCGAAAGCTAGATGAAACCAGACTTGAGCATCTTAATTGTAGGCTACTTTCCTCAGAAGTGAACAGCAATAGCATTAGTCATGCATCTGAGCTACATCAGGTGACAGTGATATTAGGCTATGTAAAAACAAGGTGATGCTGTATTTGTGCAATGCTGGAGGATTTGAAAGCATGTGAAATTCTGCCATGGGATTTAAGTGCCAGAATCGATAAACTCAAGCACCAAGGCTGCCCAAGGCCACCAGCACAAATGAGCATCAACAGCTGTGGCTGCTATCTGCTGTGAGCAGCAGTAGTTGAGTTACTGAGCACCAACAGCACAGCTGGTTGTGATCTGTGTCCCTCCATTGATGAACTCCCATCAGGGAAACTGCAACACAGGTGTGGCTAGGAAGGTGAGAAGTGGGAGGCATTAGGAGTCAATTGAAGCTGCAGATGACAAAAGGGGCTGCCGAAGTCTCAGGTGTGAGAGCTTTTAAAAGAGGGTTTGGAGGCTCTGCTTCTGGGTTTGGGATTGTTTTGTGGTGCTTGAAATGAGGGAGGTACAGGTAGGTTGGGGCTCCTCTATGTCTAGGTAGATACTTCTGGCTTAGATCAGTGTAGAGCTTCAAGGATGCTCTAATGCTTCTTTTGTCATGGTGGGGCTGTGAGCACAGGGACTTGTCAGCAAGAAGCTGAGGGGAGGCTGAGAGCTGAGATCTTAAATGTCATGATCTTGGTTCCAGCAGAAGTGCTCTGAGCAGCTCTGAATTTCCTAAGTGCAAGGGGCTGTAAAAGGCTTGAGGTGGTGGAGACTGGGTGCCCTCTGTGGAATTGCTGTAGGGACTTGTTTTGAAGTTAAAAAGGCAGATTAACTTATTCTCTCAAACTGCAAAAAATAGCTTTTTATTTTCTTCTTGTTCTTTTCCTTTTAATGAAACTGGCTTTTGGTAAAGCAGCTTTTCTCCCTTCCTTGCATCCAGGGACCTAGTGCACAACTCTTAACTTCAACTTTGTAGCCTGACCCATGTCTTTGGACAGTGTTAAAGCTCTCCCAGCAATCAAAGGCGAAGTCACCCAGGATGCCAGCAGGCCTTGGGTTTGTCCCTCTGCCTTCCTCTGAGCTGGCCCTACGTTCCAATGTGGCAAACTGTTGGGGTAGCATGGGGATGGGCAGCAGTGCAAATGCTTGGAGACAACAGTTAAAAGTTATGGGCTAGGAATAGGGGAGGGCAGAGAGGAATGGAGGAGCCCAGTTCTCTTATTAACTGATCACATTGAGCGCATTAATCAGTGAATGAAGCTCGTCCCTTACGCTCTCCAGGGAGTGGCAGATGGTCTGGGGGCTGTCCAGGAGTTCAATGCTGTGGGTGTAGGGCTCGTATTTCACTGAGAAGGGCCGCTTGATATGTGCTGCATAGTTCCTGTAAGGGAAGGATACAAGGTCTTAGTACAAGAAACAGGTCCTCAGCCCAGCTCCTGGCCTCCTCCTCCCCACAGCTGTTCACCCAGATCACAACTGGCAAATGCCTCTCTTAGAACATTCAACTTAACACAGAAGATTTGGTTTCTCACCTTCCCACCTTTACAGGGCTGTAGAGATGCCTGAGATCACTCCATTCAGTAAGGAGGATGCTGAGTTTGACAGCAAGTTTCTTGGGGCTGAAAACATGGACTTGCACCAAACTGAAGAGTACACTGAACTTGCCACCCTATGGCTATCTCCAGACACTTTCTACTCAAATTGCTTTTCTTTTTCCTTCAAAAATACCAAAGAGATTTAGACACTAATTGCAGGGAAAACCTCTGGCATTGTAGTATTACATTCCTAAATCCTTTCTGTCATTCACTTGTTTACTAATCTCTGCTTGGGGAGGAGATGACTAGCTGCAGGCTATGTTAAGATAGGACTGAGAGGCAGCAGGTCAGACCTGTGCACAGAGATGGGAATAGCATCACCAGGCTGAGCTGAGTAATGCTACACTATTTCACACCCTGGGCCAACTGAAGCCTGAACCTGAGTGACAACCCTGACTTCTCATGGCACATCTCAAGAACAAGGCTTTGTCACCAGGTTTACCTGGCCAAGTGTTCATGGATGTCATAGTGAACACAGCAAGAGGAAGGTTTCTCATATTCAGCTCCAAGGCTTACGTCTGTACACTTGACAAGGTAGGTTTGTGGATTTTTCCTTCTTGACACTTAATATTAAGTTGGGAATCTACGTTTGTGTACTTACGGCTAAAATCTCAGACTGAAAAGACCTGTGATGATGAAGGGAGAAACAAGTACTGGGGCAAGCGTGCTCATTACTAAGGCTTCACCCTTCTGCTCCTGAATTGCTTAGCTTAGGGTACCCTCTTGTGGCTATCGTAGGTCTGCACGGAATGGGAAGTGCATCGCTCCCTTTAATATGTCCTGGGCTGATTCTATGCGCTGTAGGAAGTCTGATTACCAGGATTTGTGAGAAAAACATCACTGGCTACAGAGAAGACCAGGGGTCACTAAACCAAAGCTGCAAGCTGGTGGAGGATTTTTTTTTTTTTAAGTGCCGGCCACTGTCAACATTTTCTAGCCTAAGTTTGAATAAGTAGTGTATTTTCCCCCCTTTAAATGCAATGAAATAACCCGTGAGCCAAAAAGCTGAGTGCTTTTTGCTTTTTTTTTTTTTTTTGCAGACTGTGTGTGAGAGGAAGGGTTTCCTAGGTGCTTACTTTTGAGCATCTGGACCCTGGGTTATATGAGTGGTGCAAGTGAGTGCCATAAAAGCAGAAGTTGAAATATGACAAAACTTGCTGTGTTGTTTGTGTAAAATATCTCATTTGTGGGGTCTGTAAAGTCATGCATGCTGTGTGATGCTTTGTCTCAACATGTACCCTCTCTATGCCAAGACAAAATGATATACACAAGTTTCTTCTTGCAACTAAATGTGACTGCACTGAGTTTTCCTCCTGTAAATCACTCTATGGTCAAGATGTTGTTCTGAAGTGACATCTGTGCACAGAGCTACCCCAGCAGTCTTAACACGTTTGCTGTTGCATGTGATGTGGAAACCAAGTTTACTAGTAAGATAATGCATGGGATCTGTTAACCATGCTACAGGAAGAAAAATTCCCTTTTTCCAATGGATCCATGACATGCAATTGTTTTTCTTTGTATCCAAGCTACAAAGAATGGCTGAGATTTTTGCTAGTTGAAAGACAGATGTGTAAGTTGCCCAGGTGTTACTCTGAAAGACAAAAACTTTTTCTGCCTCTTAAATTCAGAGATCAGAAATATTTTGAGCAGCTCTTCGTGTCTCTCCTAAATCTTTTATATGACACAACTGATGTGTTCTGGAGGGGCATGTGCTGGTGGGAGATGCTGTGTTGGTTGGCTGGTGCCGGACCTGGCTTTTCTGTGGCAAGGAAGCAGAGGAAGTTGTGATGAGTTCTCTGAGCCTCTGTGTTCTGGACTTCCCACCAGCTCTCTACTATGTTGCTCAACCTCTCCTGGGAGCTGGAGGTGATCTGTATCTCCTTTTGAGAATTAGGGAGTTGTGCCAGATTTGTCTCTTCTTTAACTCTCTCAGCCTTGCCTCAATGAGTGCTTCTTTCTCTGTTCCAAACCCTCCAGCCCACCTTTTGTTGGATAGTTAGTGTCCCAATCAGAGAGAAGCTGGGACTGTAGGAACTGATGAATTACTTCACTCCATGTAAAAACTGGGTGAATGTTTATTTAAGCCTGAATTTTTGAAAGACTAACTGAACTCTTTCCAAATCTCTTCTGAGATTATATACTGAAAGCAGCTATGGTACCAAGCCTTGTTTTAAAATAATATAGCTTTGTGTTCCTTTGTTTGGGTCTCCCTCAGTGCCCAGTCCTACCTCAGCTTGTTTTTGGCATCGCTGAAGCTCTCAGACACAAAATACACAGGCTGGTAGTTCTGGTCCTGGTAGGGCTGAACAGCAGCAGCATCAGGATCAAAGTCCCGTACCTCTGGTTCATCTGACAAGGAGTGCTATGGACACAGTGGGAAAAGTTTCAGCGTAAAATCAAAGAACCCAGAGAAAACATGCTAGAAATGAAGAATAGATCAGCAAAAGACATTGCAGCTGCTCAGAGGAAGAGGGGTTTTGTAGTAAAGAGTGTAGAGCACAGTGGTAATTTGTGCTGGGACTTACGATGAGCTCCCCATAGGAAGACAGGAGACCTGCCCCATAGGCTTTGACTATTCCGTTCTGTCTGCAGAGTCCAAACTCCACTGTAAACCAGTAAAGCTGTAAAAAGAAAAGAAAAACAAATGGTGGACACAACTCTTCTTCATTTCCTTGTCCATGCACTATGCTGAGGGTTTGGAGATACTTGAATGAATGTGTGCCTGGCATGGACACCAAATTGCATGAAGGATAATTCTCTGCCTCCTTCCCCTGCAGCCAGCCCTGCCAGAGCAGAGTGTTAAACTAAACCTCTGCCATGCTGGGACAAACTGTGCCCCTGTCCACATGCAATGACGGGTGCCCTTGGAGCAGGCCAGTCACCTTGCTGAGGTAGAGCCAGAGGAAGTGAATGTAATTTAATCCTGTACCAAAGAATCTCAGCAATGCTGTTAGAAATATGATGCTCGTGGATACTCTGGTGCCTCTGAAAATTGGGTCAATGTGCAAGTGAGCTCTGCTGTTCATCTAATCTCTGTTCTGCATGATCATCTGGGGGCAGCTTGTTTGGGGACATTAAACCTGCAAATGCAGGGGTACCAGGCTGCAATTCTAGCACCACAACCATTCTAGTAGAGGAACTGGGGTTCCTCTGGGGCTGATGGAAAAACTTACTGTAGCCAGTTTCTCAATTTCTTCATCAGTTGCTCCCAGAGATGCAAGCCCAATGTCCTGGGAATATAAGAGTGATGTCAGGATAGATTTGCAGCAAGATCTACTTAAGCATGTAGGAGCTTGTCAGTTATTCAGTTCTCACACAGTACAAGCATCCACTTAGTACTTCTGAAAACTCATAGTGCATCTTTCTTGTGGATAATGAGAGTAAAGGAAATATCAAGATGTCGCTTTGGGAATTTCTGTCTATCTCATAACATCCTCTGTAGCTGGTGTCTGGGAATTCACATTAGCCAGTGTTTCTATTGGAACAACTTGTTTGAAATGTTTATTTTGCACATCCCTTCTTGATCTCTTCCTCCCCGTCCCCTGCCTGGTGGCTCCTGCTGTGGTAATTCTCCAGCTGCCCCATTGCACCTTCAGGCTGGTACTCCCATATTCTCCCCATTATTGGGGATCTCCCTTTCCTTCATCACCACCAAACTATTCATGATCACCTTTTCCTTAAGCCCACCTCTTTCTTGCTGACTTCTTAAAGACAATTAGTAAGGCCCTTACGCACAGATTTCTCTGTTGTTATTGCCTGGAAACAACAGAGATAGTCTACCTGAGCTGCCAAGCCTTTTTTGTTGCTTAGTTGCACTCAGATTAAATGGCTATTAAGTATTCTTCAGTATATAGTCTAGAAGAAGGGTGTAAGATTGGTAAGAAAAGGCAAGGCTGAAAGCAAACAGGCATCAGCCAAAGTTGGAGCTGAGGCAGTCATGTCACATGTTGAAGGAAAAAGTACCAAACCCAGATGTGCATATATATTGCAAATCTGTCCCTAGCAGACATCTTCACAAATAAGTGCTGAGTGTGCTATTGCTATAGCAATTGATTTGGAGTATGCTGTCATGTCCTGTAGAAACCCCTTAGAGCAAAGCAATGCTTGACTGCTGGTATGGTGTAATGAAAACCCAAGAGAAAAGGGTGGAGAGGAGAAAATCTCCTCCAGGCAGTGTGGAGAGTGTGAAAATCTCCTCCAGGAGTGTGAGTGACAATCAGGCCTGTTTGGGATCTCACCTACTCCCTTACACTCTTGGGGAGAAGCAGCGGAAAACTACCTTACCTGGGAGAACTGGGCAAATGTCTTGTCAGCCAGCATTGGGACGTGCCCCAGTAGCTCATGACAGCAGTCCCTGCCATTGTCCAGGGGAAGGAGGAAAATGCAGTCAGCAGCAGATAGCTTGCCCATTAGGGAAAAAGCCAAATGTTCCTTGCTGGCTGCCAGGGCCAGCAGTACTCACGGCTCAGGGGAATGCATGGGTGAAGATGCGTGGCGGATATACTGTGTGCACTGGAACACACGGAAGGCCAGGCTGGCAAGGAAGTCACGTGCAGACAACAGGCCAGCCACAGGCCGGAGCTGAAAGCCAGTCCTCTCTGAAACAGAGCATAAGGCTTTGTGTGAGGGGGCAGATCACAGATTGTGCTGCTGTCCTATGGTTCCAGCACCTAAAGAAAAATATTCAGTGCTGGAAGACAAACAGCTCCTTTGCTGCCAAAACCAATGTTCCTGCTTCTACTAGGGAGTTCATTAGTTGTTCAGTGGGTTGATGATGGTCTTGACTTCCTAATGAACTAACCCTGTCTAGTTGTGGCTTCAACCACCTCTCCTCCATGCTTAGATTTTCCCATTGCAGCTGCCACTGCTGTGCTGGAGCCCTGGCTGCCATAGATCCAGGTCCCCTGGGCTTTTCTCTGCTCCATCAGGAGCTTGTACTCACCTTTCAGGAAGCGGGAGACCTCTTCCAGTTGAGGGATGTTGTTCTCATTGTAGCCACAGAATTTCTCCAGTAGATTAAAAGCTTCTAAGTACTCCTTGCAGGCATGAGTTGGATACAGGCTCTTCAGAGTGCTGTATACCTCCTTCCTTCAGGGCAAGAAATGACACAGTCAATGACCTGCCTTGACACTTGTTCCTCTGGACGCACACTACCAGGTTCTCATGCTTCTAGATTTCTTGTTCTGTGCTTTCTGCAGGACTAAGTCTGCCTCTTTGCATACTTATAGGAGTACACAAATGTACATATTTGGAGGAGCATGAAGCATCAGTCAAATCTACGCTGACCTTCAAGGTCAGAAGATGGTATTAAAAGCATTAACTGGAATTAAAATATTCCCTGTACATCATTCCTGGAGCTGCACTATAGATGGTCAATATAAACAAAATGTGACCTTGTTTAAGAGTCAGAGTTCTCAGTAGTAGCCTGTGACTGACGTAACTTCCTCTCTGGGGAAGCTCTCTTGAAGGAAGCTCCTAGGGGTCTTTTTGCAAATCACTACAACAATCCAGGTTTTAATTCCCAGTTTCTAGTGCTGGTGCCATGAGTTATGAATTATATCAGCACTCACCATGTAGCAGTCTCCTCTGCTGTGTACTCCACATGAGGGATTGGATCTCCCCTGCAAGGCAAATGCACTGTTACTGACAGTAGAAGAGCACAAGCCAAGCTCCTCTCCCTGTTGAGAAGGAAGCCCTTCGGAGAAGCTCTGTATGATGGTGATCAAGCTTCTTCTTTAAAATAAACAAGGTGGCAGGAATGACTAACTTTTGATACTAGGTCATTTGCACAGGTGCAGTAATGGAAACAGAAAAGCATTAATTTCACTGGAAGTTATAAATAAGCAAAGGATGAGCAGAAGCTTAGCAGGCTTAGTATTTCCAGTCAATCCAGTTTTCACTGAAAAAATGGGAAGCCTTTTGTGAGAATAAATTAATTTCATGTGCCTAAGCTGCAGGGAGCTGATGATTATTAGAATGAATCAGTGGCTGGGAAATAAAAGTAGATAATAAAGACAACTAAACGCATTTGAACTGGGGGGGGGGGACGGCCAGTATTGTCCATGAGACTAAGGACTGCAAGAAAAGACATTGTTTATTATAAGTGGGAACTGAAGAAGGCTGGTGCTCTTGCCTTTTCTGCATCATAATTATATTTTCTAAATCTTTATCTCTGTATTTTTGAATGAATGAGGTATTCATATATTACAGTGATAAAGCATAGTTCCTGTTCCATTAAGAGCCTGAAGGGATGTTACACGGCAGCCTATGAATGCTAACCTGATAGGCAAGAAAAAGCATCCTAAATGGGTGCATCATCTTAGTAGAGTATTTATACTCAGTCCCTTAGGACTCTCTTGCTGGCTCACTTATTTCCTATGCATTTAATATCAGTGCAAAAAACAAAACAAACAAACAAAAAAAAACACCTATCAATGTATATATTCCAAGCTTTGAATGTGCATCAAACATGTAATTTAACAGAGCAGTCAGTAAGCCATGGTTGGATCACATCAAGTGTGCAGATAGCTCAAGAAGGTGATCCAGATAATATCCATAGCTTGCTTTCAGCATGGCTCACTAAAGGAATCTACATTTAAGTGCTGCTAAAAGAGGCACTGTGGTGGAAGGCAGTGTTACTGAATAGGATCTAGGGAGTGTTTTTACTAACCCAACTGAACACTGGAGCTCTGATTGATGTTGTGAAGAGATTTAGTGCTATCGCTGCTTACATCAGAATGAGAGTATTAAATAGCAGTACAAGAGATAGTCTTAATTCTATATAAGACAATTATGAGACCATTACAGGAATCTATTTAATTTATCAGAAAGAGTTAGTAGTCTATAAATGCCATAATGGGGTGGAAAAAGTGATACAGCTCTATGAAAGATGTGTATGATGCACTGGGTAGAAGCTAAATCTACTGATGTTCTATTTTGAAATTAAACATCCTTTTCAGTCAGTATAATGAACCATTGGAATAAGTTTTCCAGACATGTGATGATTTTTTTCAGTATATGAAACTTTGAAGTTGAGACTAGATGTCATTCTAAAAGAGTTGCAACAGTTCATAGTTAAGTTGGAGATCTGGTGGAATTACACACAGCTTTTGTTATGCAGCAAGTTTATTCTGACTGTATCAGTATATGAATAAATGACCACAGACATTTTTAAATTAGGGATGGAACTGGAATGCACGGAGAGAAGAAACACACAAAAAGAAGTGGAAATGCTAAATGGGAGAAAACACAAAAAAGGTGTAATGCATGTAGCGTTAATTACTTTTCAATAGGCTGTCTTGACATGGTATTACTCCTGCATGAATTTGAGGGACAATACTTACTGCTTATAGTGAAAAGCGATTTCTGCTATTGATTTCCTCCTCTGGCGATACACCTGGTCAGAGTAGCCCTAGGATGAACAATAGGAGCATAAACACAATGCTTTAAATCAGTTACTAAATTTCTAACCTGATAAAATTCGTTGCTGTCTGGAGCAACTGGTGGTTCTGGTACAATTCCCTGACCAGCTGCATGAGTAGCTGTTCTCTAGCTCCTTATTTCTGAGATCTGGCTCAGGGCTCAAATGCAGATATGTACCCATACACTCACCGGGTGATCTAAGTCCAAGTCAGGGTCAAACTTGGTGACCAAATGGTGGCACTTGTCCAATTCACATATTTTTCTGGGAAACCAGTGAACTGTGGGGAGAGAGAAAAACAGAAGCTGTCTGTGGAAGCAAAGGATGAATGTGAGACTTTGTGGAGAAATGTGCAAGGAGGTGATCCTGAGGCATTCTTCCCTTGGTCACTTTCAGCATATCACTTCTTTTCTGATAATATTGAAATCTTTGCCCTGTTTCTGTTTCAACCACAGCACCGGGGAGAGGAAAGAAAAAAAAAAAAAAAAAAAAAAAAGAATTTTTATATTTTTCTTACATTTGTCTTCCTTAGTGGTCCTCACATCTTCTGCTACCCTCTTGATGGAGCTAATGAAAGTATTAAGGTCAGAGCTGTGCACTTCACAGCGCACAAAATACTCCAGTTCAGCAGTGCCTTCGCGGGGCTTTCGGCTGAGTCTTGTCTCCAAGTGGTGGATTTTAGCTTCAAATGTCTTGTAGAACGTGGGAAAGAAAAACAAAAGCATTAAACACTGGAAGACTGTAACACTTGAGAAAAAACTGATGCTTTCCAAAGATGTACACATACGGACATTTGCGGGGAGGTCCCTGCTGCTGCACTGAAAATTATTTTGACTGAGGTAAACTTGCTTATCCGTTACCGAGGTTTTGCTTCTGAGAGGGGAAGTCGCTAGGGTAGAAAGCAACTTCCTATGGTCCCCTTTTCCCTTTAATTAGTGGATTTTTGGTGGTGACGAAGGGGGGCAAGGAGCAACCAGGGAGCCGGCGGGCGGTGCTGGCCGTGGTGCTGAACGTGCGGGACCGCCGTCTCCGGGAGTGTAGGCAAGTCTCCCTTGCCTGCCATCACAAGTGTTTGATACCCGTAGAAAAGCAGAGGTTTAACTCACCCACTACACGCCCAATCGCAGACGAATACACACACACTTGAGCATAAAATCTGAAGCGATCGTTCAGTTGCTGATTTACAGCTGAAAGAAATCTGTAGATGTTTTAATTTGTGTTTAAGCCAGCCATTGGAAAAATGTGAATAGGTGGGTTTTCTAGTTTTTCGTCTGAGAAACAGGATCTCACCCCCATTTCATACATTTGATAGCTTTCCTGAGGGACTCGTGACAGTGATTTAACAGCCACCTTATTGCTACTTAATGTCTTTTGAAGAGTCTAGCCTCACCCTTGTCAACAGTGACTGACATAAATGCTCCTATAAGACTTGCACCCCATCATTTTCCTCAATTTTTTTTTTGTTTGTTTGTTTTGCTTGTTTTGTGAGGGTTCTTTAGGAGTCGAGGAAGAGGTTTAAGAAGAACGTTTGTTCTGTCTACATCCAGCAGGTTGCTAAATTCTGCTCAGACTCTAGTAGTTACTTGGGGTTCATCATTAGAACTGAATTCACACAAAAATAAGAAGTGGACAGAACAGAGTCCCAAGTCCTCCGAAAGGTCCTGGTAGAATTTTGGATGCTTTCTTTATCTCTGTGAAAATCTGGAGTATGAGCACGAGTCCATGGACAATGACACAACCTTTCCAATGTCTCTGAGACATCTTTGGTAGAAGAAAGAGCATTATTTCTTTTGTTAATCAGAGGCAGATGAGAAGGAACAGATGCGATGCCACAGGTAAATTAAATTTAGGACGGTGTTTTTGAATGTACCTACCAACTTCAATATTACATTGTCCCCTCAACAATCAATACCTTTGCATTAATCTGACAGCTGTGATTGCATTACCTATGCTTTGACTGCATGTAACACATACAGCAGAGTGAAACCAGCTTCCCTGCAGCCTGGTTTATGATGAGGCAAATGTCATTATGCCCGTCTGCTTTCATATCTTGTACCTGCATTGCCAGAGGGATCTGGGAAATGAATCTTTCTCTGTTGTGGCTTGACATGTTTGTCTTTTTATTATCTTGAAAGCTCTCTCTGTGACAAGATCGAAGAGCTTTTTTTTTTTTTTCTTTTTTTTTTCTTCTCCAAAGCAGATCTTGATGCTGCAAGTAATTTTCTCCAGAAAGAAACAAATAATACTTGGATGTAAGCTGCCCCTGTCTCTTCCTTGATGTTTAAAAGCTATTGAAATTATAGACCTAAAATGTGCTGTAACATGCAGTCTGCCAAGTACAAGAGTCTATACCTCCATGCTTCATACCTGCTAAGCAGTGTGTTGCATTTGAAATGTTACGCTGATGGGTTTTTTATTTTTTTATTTATTTTACTTTCCTGGCAGCATTGTGCTTCTCTTAGGAAGGAGACGCGATCATGGTGACATTAAATGTACTATGTCTATAATATCCTATTGTTAGAAAAGTATTACATTTCTGCTTGACACGTGTGTTTGATGGATTCTTTTGAAATAAGAACAAAATGTTGCCCAGAAACAGTTTTTTCTTACAACCATTATTTTAGAGAAAATGTGAGATGTTTTTTAAGTATTAAAAATCTGAAACACTTTTCAGAAGATTATCAGACATGGTGCTGCATGGGCTGTAGCTGTAATGCCTTCTAATTTCAGGAAAATACTTATCCCCCAAAAAACAGGTTTTGTTTTTTGGTTTGTTTGTTTGCTTGTTTTTTTTTCTTAAAGTACATAGCAGTAAGACATGAGGCAATGGACACAAACTGGAAGCAAGGACATTAAAAAAAAAAACAAAACTTTTTTCTTTACCATGCAGGCAGTAAAACACTAAACAAATAGTCCAAGGAGACTGTAGAATCTCTACTTTATAAACATGGCCATGAATAACACACTGCAACTAGACCTGCTATGAGCAGAAGGTTGAACTAGAAACCTCTGTAGGTCCCTTATAATCCATGTGGCTGATGAATAGGAACAAATTGTCCTCTTGCTGCTGAAGTTAATGAGATTAAACTACTATAGATAAAACATTGCACAGATCCCCAGTTTACAAAACACTTTCAAATCCTTCTGGATGAGAATGAGCTATATAAATGCAAGTTGTCATGTTTTGATTATTGTTTAAATAGCCAGTACTTATCTCAATCTCTCCATTCATGGTACAGAGATCCTAGATAATAGAAGATTATATTGCTGGCTAGAGGACAAAAGTGCAATCAGATATGAGTTTTCATCAATTTTAAAGCTATTTATAGGATGCACCTCTGTGGAGAAACCAACACAACCTTTAACACTCAATTCTTAGATTACCAAAGCCTTGACCCAGTAGCTGATCAGTAGTGAGGAAAGGGAATTTGTTCTGTAGCTGTGTAGAGCACGTGGTGTGTTGTGAATGTTTGATCAGAGCCCAGTGCACATAGTGCTGAGCAGTAGAGGGTGCTGTCAGAGTATGCTACAAATAATATGGGTGTGTATTGTGGGTGTGAAATTGTGTGGCTGACTTCAGTAATTAAGCAAAGTCGAGCCTAGAGTGTTATAAAAGCACATTCCTAGTGTGGGCATGTTAGGGCATGAGCAAAGCACGACTTTGGGAGATCATGCAGACAGTTAACTCTTAACTTGCAGTAGTGAGAACTAGTTTGAATCTTCCTTGATAGATGCAGGGGATATTTCTCATCAAACCACCATGAGAAGCATAGTGTTCCTTGAGTCCAGAAGCAGGTTAGAGACTCACCTCAAACACCTTAAGTGCTCGCGAGAGCGGAGAAGTCTTGGCACCCTTGAGCATGAAGAACAGGTTCAGCATGGCTCTCCCATCCTTCTCCTCAAAAACAATTGTCTCTGTGGACTCTGCTGCATCAGTGGCTGCAGCTGCAGCCTCTCGTTCCTTCCTGGCATCTTCAATGAGGCTTTGACGTCTACCAATGAACCGCGGAGACTGAATGCAGAATAGAAATAAGTAACAATTTTTATGGAGCGGTAGTGGGGAGCAGAAGCAACTCTGGTACTGCATGAGGTGTGACTGGAGTGCCTCATCAGAGGAAGATCGGAAAGGCTGGGCTGACTTGCTCAGCTTTGCAAAGGAAAGTATTGAGAACTAAGGCTTTAGAACTGAACTTTCAGAAATGTGACCTTTTGGGAAAAAGCTAAATATGCTTATAGTACAACTGAAGTGGGCTTTTCTCCCACGCCTTCCCCAGCAATATATATGTATATATTCTTCAAAAACTGAGAATCAGACACAGTCTTGCACCGTTTTAAGGAGTCTCGCAAACTGCAGGGGAGACGTGCTAGGTAAACACAGAATCATTTAAGAAAAAGGCATGCTATGAGGTACAACTGAAGCCTGCAGCTGTGCCCTGGCCAGGAAATATGAACTGTTTACAGGTGTATTAGTATAGTAGCCAATCTGCTCCCAGGCCCAGTGCAACCACCAGCCTAAGCACACCACATGCTCTCACGTTCTCTTCACAGCCCTATGCCCGTATGTCCCCAGCCGCATTGAAAGAGTAAAAACATATCCCACAGGCATTTTCTTCTGATTTAAGAGGATGCTTGCCCACTGATTTATAATTGGAGCTGCATCCATACATACCTGAAAAGTCCTCCCATTTCTCTGGTGGTTTGTTTTGTCCCAGCTAAGCCCTACAGTTACTTGGAATTACAGCTAAACTGCTGCACCTCTGTGCCTGGAGCCATGTTAAGTGGCTCTTTTATGTTTACAGTGAGCTATGAACCATTTCCTTCACTGCTGCTTTTGTTATACTAATAGCTCATATGCCAACTTATTTGTTTCTGGTCTTTCTGCAATAAGCCTTCCACTTTGAGGCAGTTCAGTTGGTTCCAATTTTCTGTGTTAGACACTCAAAGCAGATGACAGTCTTAGAACTTGCTGAAAGAAACCAGAGGCAGCACTGAAAGGGGATAGCTTATAAGGCAGTTCAGCATCCACTCACAGAGATGGACTGGCTGTATTTTTTTATCCTCTAATTCTAATGAAGGCATTTGGTAAATAGATGCCAAAAAAACAATGCCTTCCCTACCCTTTGAAACTTTGGAGAATATTTTCCTTTGAAAAACAGCCTGCTCAACTACTAAGCCTATTTTCTCTATTATTTTTGAAGCCCGCTGTGATGCTTCCTCTGAGAACCCTCTTGGATGCTTTAGCAGCACAGAGCTTCATGGCTTCCTCTGACATTTGAAATGCACCCTGAAAAACACCGTATCTCTAGATATCAGCCCACGTGCTTCTTCTTTGTCCTCTTTTTTAATAAAGAAACCCCTCTGAAGTGATATTTGCTGATCTTCAGCTACTTTATTCCTAGAGGCACCAAAAAATACCATCTAACAAATAAGCGCGCATTGCCATTTGTCTAATTTGGTGGCATTTGCACCGAAAGAGAAAGACCTCTAATAAATACCCTTCTGGTCTTAACTTTTAAGAACTTGTAAGCAGTGCTTATGCTTGGCTTTAAGCGTGTATTTTATATTGCTACTGTGTTTAAAGCTAAGCTAGTGTTTGCTTTCAGGTGCCTGCAATAAGTAGGGCAAACAGGGTCTGTGCTTTTCAGCAGTATGAAGCATTTCAGCTAAAGTGGTTTTATTGTATTATGCCCAGAGGTGCAAAAGTGCAATAGGGATTTTCTTCTGGAATGGAGAGAACAGAAGGAGGGGAGCCAGACTCCCATAAATCAAGTGAAATTTCCGCTGGGAGGAGTTATGATGGTATAACCATGCTGCCAACAGGCAGAAGCAGGGGGTTTGGTCCATGTCTAGGGGCTTAGATCCACACTTGGCGTGGCAAAGTTCATAGAAAAAGGGCAAGGCAGTTTTTTGTTTAGGAGAACATCAGGAGTGGTCTGCCTGCTTGCCGCATCAATGCTTTTCCTCTCAGCATCATCTCTCCTATTTCTCACCATTTACGCTCTTCAGGATGTTGCCTCTTTTTTTCTGGAAATTAGGAACTATTTTCTATATAAACTAGCCAAAATGATTTCTTGTGATAAATGACTTCTATTCTTTGGAAGATGCTCTTACACGGGATTTCTGACTTTCTCTGTGGACTAACTCCCTCATTGCCTATCCAGCTAAAATGAGAAATTTAATTTTGCAGAACACTTCTTTACCTCCCTGGGATCTGTGTCTGACTTGGTCATTCATCTGGTACAAAGGATTAGTTTTTCTTTCTTTGAAACTGCTGCAGTTCTGTGTGCCTAGCTGCTAAAAACGTGATGCTTTGAATTAAAGCATTTAGGCTCGCTTTTTGTAACAATCCCAGGCAATCCTTCCAGCTGTTTGGCTTCCAGCTGCCATCTCCTGATTAAACGCTCTGTAACCAAATCCCTGTTACAGATACAAGATAGCTTGCAAAGAAAAACTGTGAGCAGAAAATCTAAATATACAACCTGAAGGATTTTCCACTGTGTTTATCTCTGGCTGTTACAGCTGGTGTGTGAAACACCTTCTGGTGTGGGTGAGTCTTGGGATTGCAAAGCTCAGAAGGGACACCTCTGACCTGCTGGTGTGGTGGTGGTAGGGACTGGGTGGCCAATGGCCTTAGAACAACATGAGGGCTGGGGTTGAGTGCTGCCACACACAAATGCAGAGTCATGCCTCTCGCTAAATGCAAGCCAGCGAAATAAGCCAAGGGATTGCGGAGATCTCCCACATGAGGTAGGAGAGCTATTTTTTATTTATTTTTTGCTTTTCTGTGGATTTCTATTCCAAGAAGGGATACAGAAGTGGTCTGAAGTTTTATATCTGCTCTTCCAGGCTGCCACAGCCCTGCTAGCATGTCCAAAAGACTCAGATTCCTGCAGCTCTTGCACCCAAGGCCACACTTTCCATCAAACACAGCACAGCATCCCCGCATGCCCAATCACCAAACTCTCACCCCTTGGCCAGACAAGCCAGCATCTCAAGTACTGATCCAACACTGCAGTCTGGAAAATCCTTGTTTTTTGAAGAGCTACTTAAATGTTCATTATTTTACCAGGGTGGGAATGCCTGTGCAGGAGGAAAGCCTTCCCTGACTTCCATTTACTACTGAAAGTGAGCTTACCTCTTTGTTTGTTAATTGTTTCTCTTGCTTTCTGGCATGCTGCATGCTCCAAAACACCTTTGGTGCCTCCACCATGTTTCCTCCTGCTAAATATCCCAAGAGTTCCTTCCCCATGCTATCAGGGGTCATCCAGAGCCTGGCCACTTCCCTGACCTGCAGAGCTGTCTCATGCCCGTGGTCTCTAGCGTTTTCTTGACTGCCTTCCCATTTGGTTAGTGTTCCATTCCTACAGCCTACCCAAAGCATTTATTAGAATTTGTTCTCTAAATGCACTTGACAGCCCAGCGGGAAATGTTCTCTTCTTTCCCTTATATCTGCAGCTTTAGTGTGTGCAGAAGTATTCCTCAAGGTAAAAACCGGGCCCCTAAATAATTATGAAGGAGTGGGAGCAGAAAAGTGGGAAGATGTACTGAGAGAGTAACAGCAAACTGAATGAATTGCCTGCACCCTGCATGTGGTCTGAAATGAAATTCACACTTTTCCATTGTGCTATAACAGATGAAATCTCTGCAGCTTAACGTCTAGCAATGAATATAGTATTAAGTTTTTCAAATTGCATTAGATGCTGCGGATGCCTTGTTACTCCTGCCCTAATTCTATGGGTTATTTTAGTTGCTTTTGGCTGCGGGGGGGATGAGGGTGCATTTGTTTTAGCTTTTGTCCCCCTAGTTCTTTGCATTTCACACATCAGTGTGTACAGATGAGTGTGGGGGTCATTTACTTCTCCTGGTCTAGAGAACTGGCTGGGGAACACCCCTAGGGATAGTGTTGATCCCTCTATGCCTGTCTGCCACTGCCTACTGCTGGAGGAGAGGCTGCATTTTTTAGGGGAGAGGGAAGAAGTGGAGTAGAGTTGTCTTACCATGATGGCCTCGGCTTGCTTGGAGTCCAGCTCCGACACCGCCCTGCGGAAGCCTTTGGCTGCAGAGGTGGAGATGTTGGGGGTTGGCATCGTCACTCTTCCACGAGCTCTGCTCTCCGCTTTTCAGCTCCTTGCCAGCTTTTTATAGGGTGAGGCTGACGTCAAAGATTCTTTCAAAGCTTCTCCCCTCCTGCCGCAACCCCCCCATCACCACCTCCCTCCTTTCCCCCCTCAGGCTGAGAGGAGGAGGGGACGTGAAGGAGAGAAGCGTTTCTGTCCCATTAAATCTAATCGCCACAAAGATTGCAGACACCCTGCCTTCGCAGACCTGCTGCTCCCCCCACTTGTTTGACTGTGCCCATAAGATTTCTTCCCTGTTTTTCACCCCTCTCTTTTTTTCTTGTTATAATTCTCTCACTCTTTTTCAATCTGGTAGATTCACTTTCCCGGCTTGGGCATTGCATGAAAGGATTTTGATCTGTTAAAGGACAAAATAAACAGAAGGGAAAGAGCCTTTTGTTTCCTCCTTGTTTGCTATGTCACTGAGGCAGTAAAGGAGGAGGAAAGTAGCACCAACTCCCCCAGCTCAGCTACAGGACTGGTTGCTGTTCTTGGTGCATGCACCTCCAGAGTTGGGTTGGCTATGGCATGCTGACAGCAGGCCTGCAGGATTATGCCCCTTGTATCCTCAGAGGAGAAAACAAGGGGGAAAACCCGCTTCTGCATCCTGCTATCCAAGGATTTTGCTATTCTCGCTGCAATGCCTTAGAGGCCAAATGCCCAAGAACATTTGGTCTGTGGCAGCATGTGGCACAGCAGGACCCACCCAGAGATGTCCTGCTGCATTGAAGATTGGCCTTCTCCTCATGTGGGATTCAAGAGGTGATGCCCTCAAGTTGCACTGGGGGAAAGGGGGGGGGAGGGTCAGGTTGGATATTAGGAAAAATCTCAGAAGGAGTAGTGATGCACTGGCACAGGCTGCCCAGAGTGGTGGTAGAGTCACCACCCCTGGAAGTGTTGAAAACCATGGCGTGGTGGCACTGAGGGACATGGTTTAAAGCGGCTACAGACATGGGCTGATGATTGGACTCAGTGACCTTAGCAATCTTTTCAACCATACTGATTCTATGATTCTTTGCCTGGCAGCAACTCTCTAGCACCAAGCTAATGTGTTCCAAGACTGAGAGAGCTTCCCTGGATTTTGTATAGGAAAGAAAGGCAGGCTTGGGAAGGAGGAGAGTTATGACAATCATATTTGAATATCAAATAAACTTTTCATTCTGAATGTACTCTAATGAATTATGCTACCCTTTAAAGTAGCAAGTAGAATACCGGACTTCAGCACTTTTGGTCTGAGGCTTTCAGTTCAATCTCAGGACGAAGAAAAGTTTTCTTCATTCTGTTTTCTTAAAATCAAAAAGCACAACCATTTTGATAGATCTTTTATTTGTGGTGACTAGTTTAGTCTAAAGGTCTTTTTAGAATGCCATTTGCCAGAGAAGATGAACCTAAAATCAGCTATCAAAGCAAATTCCACTTATTCAAATTTGTAATCAAGTTACTGAAAGGATAGCCTTAAAATGTCAGTTCATGTGAAGAATAGAGAAAATGGATAAACTACTTCAATAAAATGGGAACAGAACAAGTCAGCCAGCCTTCCTGCAGGCTGTAACATATTCAGAGATCACATGTGAGGGCTCTTCTAACAAATAGAGGCTTTAAAAGGAGCCGATAACATCAGGCAAGTTTTTCGAGATTATTGTACAAATATGTGGGATTACTTCAACTACATATTTTGATTTCCTTTTTTTCATTACATATTGTTTCTCTCCTTGCAAAATCCAGCACTCTACTTAAGCTCATCAGCTCTTCTTAGTTTGTCAAAAAGCCCTTGATTTTTAATTCCTCTCCTCTATAGGGATGATAAATTAGGCATACAACTCCTGCTTTCTTTAAGCCCTGTTAATCTGTCACCCCATGTCTGTCTGGTGATGAGAGTCCCACATTGTACGGAAATGCTGTCAAGCACAGAGCCTCTGCAGAGCTGAAGTGTAGTCCTGCTTCCTATGCAACCAAGGGCAAAACATCTGCATCTCTGTAAACCTCCTGCTTAGGTTTATGTGCAAGTTCTGCTGATATCAGGCACGACTTACTACAAAAACACATTGAGGACCTCAGGTGTTTCTAAAGAAGGGCGACAAAATTGTGAAGGATTTGGAGTGCAAGTCTTATGGGGAGTGGGTGAGGGAGCTGTGATTGTTCAGTCTGGAGAAGATGAGGCCAGGTAGAGACCTTGTCACTCTCAGCAGTGACCTGAAAGATGCGGTGAAGTGTGGATTGGTCTTTTCTCCTGCATAACTAGCAATAGCATTAGAGGGAATGGCCTCAAGTTGTGCCAGAAGAAGGTTCAGATTGGGTATTAGGAATTTTTTTTTCCTCAGAAAGAGTGGTGAGGCACTGAAACAGGCTGCCCAGAGTGGTGATGGAGTCGATGTCTCTGGAAGTGTTCAAGAAATATGGAGATGTGGCGGTGAGAGACATCATCAGTGGGCATGGTGGTGGTGGGTTGCAGTTGGACTAAATGGTAACAGTGGTCTTTTCCAACTTCTATGATTCTATGACTTTTAGGAGTGTGAGCCTACTTAGTTAAATTATGGCTTTGCTCCCACACCAAGGCTTTTGTATGTTGATTAAATACCGAATTTTCTAATGAAAGAGAAGCATTTAGGAAGCTTTATGAAGTAAATACAATGGATTCATTAGTGCTTTGTTTCTCAGGCTCCAATCACATGACTGTCTGTGAATGTGTGCAAGTGCTATGTGTAACCAGCTGCGTGTTTTAGGGGATTTATCTGACATAAAGCAGGAACAGCAAACATTGTTGGACGTTGCACTTTGGATGCATAGACCAAGAGGAAAACCTCCATCTGCCAGACTGCCATCCCTCATTTTGAGTGAGAGGTGGAGGGATCTCCATGCAACAGACTGTGCCTGGATGTAAATTCCAGGGGGAATCAGTGACAGAGGTGATGCCAGCCCAGTGGTGGTGGGGAGCTCTCTAATGGTTCAGGGAGCTGCAGGGACAGGCTTTGAGATGCAGAAGTGTCCCACCAAGGGCCAAAGAAAGAGACTGTGACCACCGTTGTGAGGGCAAGGTGCTATATCCCATCGCAATTGAGGAGAAAACCCTGGTGGTTGTGTGGAGTGACCAGGTCCTCTTGTTGCTCTTTCTCCCACCTATTCGCACCCTCTCCCTCTTTTCTTCCATAGCCTGAAAGTTACAGTCTGCTATATGAAGCAATTACAGCAGTGGTTAGCCAGCTCCGTCAAGAGATGCCTATTTTTTTTATTCATTTCCTTTCAACACTTCTGAATGCCTCTAAGTTTAATAACCCATAATGACACCCTAGACTTCGATGTCATTGCAGCCTCTAGGACTGGGGCATCAGCAGGAGGAAAAAAAAAAAAAAAAAAAAGGATAATTAAAATTTATGTCTACCTCTCAATTTTGCAGTATTCTATCATCTGGAAAGCACTAGCTTTTGCGCTCACACTCACTACAGATGAGCCCAAAGAAAGGGGAGCTGCAAGGAGTAGAACTCTGTAGCTCCTTTTTAAGTGTTCTGAGACGTATTCTGAGACTCTGGCATAAAAGCACAGTTGGACCAGATGAGGTTTAACATCTTCAGACCTGCTCTGATAGATGGGCCAGGTGCGGGGGTCCTCTGTTCCCTGAGTTGTAGAGGTGGGCTCTGGGAGATGAAGAGCTCCATTGCAGGGATTGTTATTCCAACCAGTGGATGAATCTCAGGGCAAAATGAAAGCACAGACATACAGAAGTACACACACACACACTAGTGGCAGAAAATAATCTCCTATAGGGGATGTAGTAGGGCTGTGCAATCTCCAGCACCTTTTTGCCATGATCTGTATGGATATATTTTTAAAGTATGATGTCCAGGATTATTCTGCACTACAGATGCAAATCCAGTGACTGACGGGTCACAACCAACACCCTTCAGCAGCTAAATGCAAACTTCTGTGTCTACGACTTCACGTTTCAGAAGAGCAGCTCAGTTTTTAACTGAACCTGAAAATATCCCATAACACATCAAAAATGTCTGCTTATCTTTGGCATTGGACATTGGGACTGACCGATCTCACAACTTCACATTTGGAGTCAGTTTGCGCTCATACCACTCATATTTTGCTTCCGACTCAAATCTCCTCTCTTGGGTCAATATGGTAATTGCAATCCTGAAAAATTTTTACAGAAATCAACTTTCCAGGTGAAAATAACCTGATTTCAGGCAAAACTTATTGAGGAATAAATTTGCAGAGGGAAGGAATTTTACTTGAATGGAGGAAAAAACTCAGCACCTCCCTCTCCCCAGGAACTGGGTATTTAGCCCTGAGTTTTCAGAAACAGAAGCAGCAGTAATCCCTCCATTTCTGCATCAGGAAATGGATCTGGAACATACGAGTGTTAATTCAGAAACATTGTATTGATGATTCACCCGCTACTGCAGAATCCAAAATAACCATCTTGTCTCAGATCAATGGGGAAGCACTTAGGAGCAATTTTCTCTTTGGAAATGTGGGCAGCAAACAGACAGCCAGGAACAGGGGGTGGAGTAAAATGTACTGTCTCTTGGAGCGTGCTATCTTGTATGGTCATAAAAACATTGGCTGACACCTCTGTCCCACCGTATTTCTACTTGCAGAAAATTCTTTAGTAAAGTGTTAAGGGTATTTCACCTTTGTGTGGAAAGTTGCCTCCATGTGTATTGTAGCAGGTCTCTCCCTATACAGCCAGCCTTCATAATTTTCATTTATATCTGTGATTCCCAGTATTTTTCTCCTAGCTCTGGAGTCAGCTTTCCTTTGAAAATACATTAAGTTGCAGCTTTTTTGTGAGGAGAGGAAAGGATGGAGTCTAGGAACTCCCAGGCTGGGGGAAAAAAAAAGCCCTCCAGAATCCATAATTACTGTATGGAAATCTGGCACAGAATTATTGAACATTGAGTTTGACAGTGAATTTGCTTTTCTTGGGGAAAAAGAAAAGAAGTATTATGTGTGCAAATAAGAGC